ATTTCTAAAATAATTTTGATCACTGAGATGTATTAAATTGGCTCTTTGTCTGTTGTATCCATTGTCCAACAAAACACACTTCCCTTAGATGTATGGCACAATTGTCTTGGTGCTGTTTGCTTTTAGCTTTGTTTCGTTGAATAAATATTTCAGTTTGTTGTCAAAAAAGAAAAGAAAAGAAAAAATAAAATTGACCTGAGTATCAGTCAGGTGTGAATAGCTCTGTTTCCTAATGCTCTGGCCAGCGTCAGATATTTTTGCTTGGTTTAATAGCCGCTAATCAGAACGATATTATACATAACCTTTAATTTTCACTTCCTCAATTACTAAGGAAGTTGAGTCTTAAAAATTTGTGTTTATTGTTTATGTTTTCTTAGTTGCATACTCAATTCAAGGCCACAGACATTTTGTACATCCACCATGTAACTAGGTGTTCTCAAGAGCAAGTGACCTAATGAAGATAACCATTTGGGAGAGCTAGGATAGTACAGAAAATTCATGACTAACTATATGCTATAGGTGGAGGCATAGTATTCCTATGCAGTTTGGACAAAGGCCTCTGGGTAAAAACAAGGATGAGGTTGATCCTATCTGAAAACTAGTTTTGTTGTTGTTGTTATTGTAAGACAGGGTCTTTCTTCTGGCCCAGGCTGGTCTCAGGCTAGTTCTGAAGCTGCAGATGTTTTTGAACTTTTGATCCCCCAGCCTCCAAGATTTAGGATTAATGGCATGTGGCACCGTATTTGGCTTTGACTAGTCTCTCAAAAACCAGGTGACTTTGGGGCCAAACAGTAGATAAAAATGTGTTCAGGATGGAAAATAACGTACTCAAAAAGGTGGAGAGAAAGGGGATGTGTATGGAGTTGTAAGACTTGTATTATGGCTAAAATATGACCAAACTATGGCTGAGGGATGCTGAGACATTGGCCGGAAGTCATTGATCCAGGTTAAACTAAGGAATCTGATATTTGTCCTGAGGACTTTATTGTCATCCCTAAAGAGGACTGACTTGGGAGCTGGGCAATGGCTCAGTTCAGATCCCATCGCCCATGTGAAAAGCTAGGCACATGTCTACAGTCCCAGCATTGGGAGAAGTAGGCATGAGAAGATAAGCAACCCAGAGCTCACCGGTCAGCCAGTCTAGCCAAACCAACGCTTCAAGTTTAGTAAAAGACAATGACTCAAAAAAGTCACATGGGGATAATGGAGACTGACACTCCTGTAAACTTCTGGTCTCTATGCGCATGTGCACACACATGCAAAAATGTTGCACTTGCTCCTGTAGACACACATGCGAGCATCTACATGAGCGCCTCCATGTGTTCACCCACATGAACACTACACGTGTCACACACACCTACACAGACACATACAAAAAGGAATAACAATGAGCTAATTGACATGTGCTTTCTTGTTTCTGAAATCCATTCTTGCTATGAAGTCCAGGCTGTTCCTCTGACCTCTGCCTCTCAAGTGCGCAGGATTACAGGCATGTCTGAGGTGTTTTAGAAAGACCTTTCTGGATAGGCAAGACTGATGGTGCATGCCTGTGGTCCCAGCATTCAGGAGGCTGAGGCAGGAGGAGCATGGCCAAGAATAACATGAACCATATAGTAAGATCTTGTCTAACAACACATCCAAAGAGGAAGAGGGGGACTTGGAAGGGCCAGAACATGTGAAATGGTGTTCATAGCCATACACCAGAAGTTGTTGATAGAGCTATGAATATGGTGTTTGTTTTGTTTTGTTGTTTTTTGAGACAGGGCTTCTCTGTAGCTTTGGAACCAGTCCTGGAGCTCACTATGTAGATGACTGACCTCAGACTCACAGAGATCTGCTCGCTCTGCCTCCTGAGTGCTGGGATTAAAGGTGTGTGTCACCACTGCCTGGCATGAATATGTTCTTTATGTGTTATGCATAGTCATTGTTCATTTGCTGTACTTAAAACTCTATGTCCATTTCATGACTCTCCCTTAAAGTTTTTAAATTGTGATAACATTTGCTGTCTTCATCATTTTTAAGTATATAATTCAGTGTTGCTAAACCTATCAGAAGATTCTAAACACATTCTCCAATCACAACTTTCCTTTTAGAAAAACACCTCAGGCTGGAGAGGTAGCTCAGTGACTAAGAACACTAGCTGCTTTTCCAGAGGACTTGGGTTCAAATCCCAGCACCCACACTGTCTGTAACTCCATTTCCCTGGGATCTGACACCTTCATACCAGTGCACATAAAATAAAGTTAAATAAATTATTTTTAAAAGCATAAGCTGCTACCCCCAGCTGTGTAATGCTCTTTAACACAGGGTTTCACATGATCTTCTGAAGAGGATATTATTTCCATTTTACAGATGTGACAGAACTTTCTTCTGGATGACTGGACAGGTTATCTAAGGAAATGTCTAGGGTTGGGGCTCATGAGCCTGGTGAACAGCCAGGTTTCGGAACGGCTTTTCTGATTTCAGTGCAACAAAGAAAGAGATATACTGTGCTAAAGAAGGCTGTAGTAACCAGTTAATGTGTCCTCAGCAGTGGGCAGCAGCACTAACCAGGCGAGAGGTCATGTAGATGGAAGCGGTGAATCTCCCCACTTCCTCCTCTCGTAAGAGAGCCCCATATAGTTTATTTATTATTGTTATATTTGTTTTTTGAGACAGGGTTTCTCTGTGTAATAGCCTGGGCTGTCCTGGAACTCTCTGTAGACCAGTCTGGCCTCAAACTCAGAGATCTGTCTGCCTCTGCCTCTGCCTCTGGAGTGCTGGGATTTAAGGTGTGCACTGCCACCACCCCGCTGGATATTTTGTTTTTAAAGACTGCTTTGCCAGAGAGAGTACCAGGACAGGCTCCAAAGCAATACAGAGAATCCCTGTCTCGAAAAACCAAAAACCAAACCAAACCAAATCAACCAACAAAACAAACAAAAACCCAAACTGCTTTGGGGGCTGGAGGGATGGTTCAGTGGCTAAGAGCACTGCCTGCTCTTCCAGAGGACTGGCGTTCAATTCCCAGCATCCGTGATGGGCAGTTCATTGTAGCCAGGAAGTGTAGCTGGCCTGGAAGGGCACCTGTGCATACATTTAACACAGAAATATACACATAAATGCAAATAAACGTCTTTAATTAACATTTTATTCATTTTTATGTGGTGTTTTACCTGCATGTATGTTTGTGTAAGGGTGTCAGATCTCTTGGAACTGCCAGTTGAGAGCTGCCATGTGGATGCTGGGAATTGAACCCATGTCTTTCTGGAAGAGCAAACAGTAAGTACTGTTAACCATTGAGCCATCTCTCTAGACCAGTAAAAAAAATACATACATACATACATACATACGTACATATTCGGTTTTTCCAGACAGGGTTTTTCTGTGTAGCCCTGGCTGTCCATCAGACTGGTCCCGAACTCACAGAGATCGCCTGCCTCTGCCTCCCAAGTGCTGGGATTAAAAGTGTGCACTACCACTACCTGGCTTGAATATTTTTTAAAAATGAAATTTCTGTGTGTGTGTGTGAGTGAACGTGGTGTATAAAAGTGTAGGAGTTATTCCTTTGAGGCCCACTTTTGTGATACTTTGCTAGGCTGGCAGCCAGCAAGTCCAGCAATCCTTTTTATCTCTGTCCCCACAACCTGGGGTTACAGGTGGGCAGGACAGGACACTGACTTGTTATGTGGTATTAGGATCTGAACTCAGGTTCTCATGGTTGCACAAATGCTCTTAATGGAATCATCTCTCCAGACCCTTAAATATTTCTCTTTCCCTGTTTCTTTCTTCCTTCCTTCCTTTCTTTCTCCCTTTCTTTCCTTCTTTCTTTTTTTCTTTCCTCCCTCCCTCCCTCCTCCTCCTCCTTCCCTTCCTTTCCCTCTCTCTCTCCTTCTTCCATTCTTTTCAAGACAGGGTTTCTCTTGTGTGACAGCCTGGATTGTCCTGGAACTAGCTCTATGGACCAGGTTGGCCTCGAACTCACAGAGATCCACCTGCCTCTGCCTCCCCAGATTAAAAGCGTGTGCCACCACCGCCCGGCTTCATATTTCTTTTTCTTTGCACTTTGGGAGATTGCTGTCTCCTTACAAAGTATTCTCAAGTCTTCTAGTTTTTCCCTCCCTTTCATAAAGCCAGGAGTGAAACAAGATACAGCCACTGTCTTACAAGTTTCAAAGCATTTTGCTCACAGGGACGTATACATCGGTGTAGGAGTAGATTCCATTAGACAAGTTCAGACTTAAGATGTTCATTGGGTCACCCTTGGGAGCGTCTCCTGTACCTGAAGACAGAGCCCAGAGGGTGACCTCATTTTTCTCTCCAAAGTTTTTACTGGGCGTCAGAGTAGACAGTTCAGGAAACTATAAAGAAACCCTAACAGCTTGAGTGCCGCCTCCTCAAATATTAGCATTAACAACTCCACAGTAAAATTCATTAAATTCATCTCCTTCCTCCTGCAAGCATAGATTCAAAGCTGGGAGACAGAAGTGACCTGAGACATTCTTCATGACCTAGCTTGCTTGTCCTTATCTCAGGCTGGGTTTCACAAGGAAATTGACCCCCAGTCTCTGGAAGTGGGCACCAGTGACCGAGAGTACCCTGCTTTATCTTCACTGCCAAGTAGGTGAATATAAAAACAAAATGAGGCAATGTCCACGGCTGCTTGTGCCAGAGGACTGGTCTGCCTGGGTGTTCAGTGAAATCAAGGATTGGAGCAGGGGGTGTTTATGAGTCAACCTGGAGCAGCTGATGGAACTAAAAAAAAAGAAAAAGAAAAAGAAAAGAGAAAGGAGGGAGGAATTGGGAGGAGTGAGGGACTACTGCTGGATTTGGGGCATGCTTGGTTCATGGGGGGAGGTGCCCTTGAGGAGGCTCAGTCAGAGAGGAGGATGCGGATGAGACCCAGAGGGCGGGACAGAGACGATTCTTGGCTATGATTGGATAGCTGCTGAGGGCGGGAGTTGGTCTTGCACAGCCTTGGTCCCCCAGTTAGTAATTGGCTATATATTCAGCCAGCCGCCGCAACCCCAGCGCGAGCGGGCTGGTCAGCAGCGCACGTGCCAGGCTCTGGGGTCCTTCTTCCTGCGCACAAGTCCTTTCTTCGTCCGGTCCTGAAACCCACTCCATCTTCGGCTCTCTTGGCTGGAACTCAGCCCCCACCCCAAGCTCTGAACCTCGTCCTCTGCAAAACCGAAATGGCCACATCCATGAATTTCTCGCATGGTTTGAAAGCGGAGCTGGTCCAACCTTATAACTTCGAGATGTCTCAGAACTTACGGCCCTTTTTGGAGGAGTACTGGTGAGACCCGGTGAGGGGGAAGGACCGGCTCGCTGCTTTGAGGGGAGTGGAAACAGGGAGTGAAAGCTACGGTACTGGCTCCTACCCTCCACTCCCACCCCTTGACCCCCGCTCTGTCCTTCAAGGTACATTTCAAAGAGATTAGAGCTGGAAGAAAGGATCCAGAAGTGAGAAGATGGGGAGAGGGATGTGGGCGGAGACGAAAGGGAAAAATGACAACTACAGCTGTGGAATGAGGTTAACCTGAATGAGCGCATTTAGATGCTCTCAGAGAGAAAGGACCTGCCTGTGCAGGTGCCTGGGGTCAGCCTGTCCTACACAATTATCAGGTTCCCCAAATGTCCCATCTTTACTGCTGTGAAGATTGCTACAAAGTTGGGAACCCTTTCCAAGATTTCCCAAGGTTCTCTGTATTACCCCCAAACCTCCCCAGGCACGTTCTGTGGGCTGTTTTTTGTTGTTCAATCAATTTGCCATTAGCCAAACGGGCAGAAGGTGTTGCTACACTCCCTTACATCACAGCCTGGACGGAGTAGTTATTGGCTGGGGGCAGACAGCTGTCATCTGCCCCCATCTCCACTGAGAAACCCTGCATATAGCTCCTACCTACCCTGTGCTAGGTACTTCATACCTGTGAATACTGCTAATGTATCTCCCAACCCCGTGTCCTCACACAAACAAGGAAGCCAAAACGCCGCACTGATGGGACTCTGGTCTGGAGGAGTCCCTTGAGGGAGGTGAGTGGCCTTTCCACTAAGCAGGGCCCACTAGTGAGTCGCTCCTCTCTGCCCTCCAGGGTCAGCTCTTTCCTCATAGTTGTCGTCTATCTGTTGCTCATCATTGTGGGCCAGAGCTACATGAGAACACGGAAGGGCTTCAGCTTGCAGGGGCCTCTCGTGCTCTGGTCCTTCTGTCTAGCCATGTTCAGGTAAGGCACTGCCCCGCCCCACGCCCTGCCCGCTCTCCAGCGCCTGCACCTGTTTCTTTCATCCCTGATCTAAAACCCTCAGCTGCACTGACTTCTGTTCCACACTGCTTTGCGTTCCTCCTTTCTTGGGCTCAAGGTGGCAGCCTCTGTTCTGTACCTGTTTATTTATTTAGGTTTTTCCAGACAGGGTTTCACTATATAACAAAAACTTTTGGCTATCCTGGAGCTAGCTCTGTAGACCAGGCTGGCCTGGAACTCACAGAGATCCGCCTGCCTCTGCCTCCTGAGTGCTGGGATTAAAGTCGTGTGCCACCACCGCCCGCCCGGCTAACAATGCTTGCTTTTACAGACAGCCTCTCCAGCTGCATCCAAAACTGCTCTAATTGCCACTCTGGAACCCAGGCTGGCCTCAAACTCACTGCAACTGTCCTTCCACGGCCTGGGAATACAGATGCTAGGCTCTACTCCATTCCTCTCTTATTCATGAAATCGATACATCCAACGAGTTTCTCTAGCCTTAAATGTCTTAGTTCCTGAATTCCTCTTCAAAGACCAGCAGTAATCCCCCAGCCCCTGCTTCCCATGTCCTTCCTGTCCTGCCTCTCTTTTCTTCTGGCTCTCACCCCAACTCAAGAACCCCGTTCTTGACTTGGTCTCACCTCTCCCCCCTGTTGATTGGCTTTTTCTCAACTCTTATCTCCCTGAGAATAGTTGTTAGAGCTATCAGATTGGCCCCAGGATCTCAAAAGCTGGAACCACCCACTTTGGAAGGGTAAGGAGGTGACGGAGCTTAGAGAGCTGGTCCAGATGAGACTGAGTTGGGGGTGGGCTCACTCTGGGGATGGGCCTTATACCCTTGTGTTCTATCTCACTCCAGTATCCTGGGTACAGTGAGGATTTGGAAGTATATGGGAACACTGCTATTTACACGGGGCCTCAAGCAAACTGTGTGCTTTTCCGCCTACACTGATGATACCATAGTCAAATTCTGGTCCTGTCTCTTTGTTCTCAGCAAGATTGTTGAACTCGGTGAGTATGGAGGCTTTGTCTCTGGTGCCCAGTGACTTGCGTTCCTCCTCAGAGCCCTCCTTTTACCCATCACGTGGAGAGTCTCCTCCCTACCCCTAGGTCCCAACAATATATTCCCTCCCCCACCCCGAGAATTCCTGATGTGTTCCCACACCCAGGGTACGGGAGGGTCCCAGCACTGCGAGGTATGCCAGCTGACTCCCCGTCTCCTAGGAGACACGGCCTTCATCATCCTGCGAAAGCGCCCACTCATCTTAGTGCACTGGTACCACCACAGCACAGTGCTGCTATTCACAAGCTTTGGATTCAAGAACAGAGTGCCTTCGGGCGGCTGGTTCATGACCATGAACCTGGGTGTACATTCCATCATGTACACCTACTACACTCTGAAAGCTGCCAAAGTGAAACACCCCAGCATGCTCCCCATGGTCATCACCAGCTTGCAGATCCTGCAGATGGTCATGGGAACCATCTTTGGCATCCTGAATTACATCTGGAGGCAGGAAAAAGGGTGCCACATGACAATGGAACACTTTTTCTGGTCCTTCGTGTTGTACGGGACCTATTTCATCCTGTTTGCTCACTTCTTCCAGCAAGCCTACCTCAGGCCCAAGGGCAAAGCCAGGCCCAAGAGCCAATAGGGCTGGAAAGAAAGATGCAGCCTCAGACTCTCCTCCATGGCACTAAGGGTTAGGTGTGGGAGAATGACTAGGGTGCCCTCCCTGTATGACTTTCCCCATGGGACATGTACCCCCAAAGTGGCAGGGAGCTATGACCACCAAGAGATGTCACCCTTGGAATAGGGTGTGCTTTGAACTTTCCACCTTTAGTGTCAAGGCCAACCAAACCCTAGGAAGGGATAGGACTGAGGCCCTTCAAACTGAGTTATTTATATTTATATTTAGGACTCTTTCTTTTCTTGCTCTGTTTTTTTAAATTAAAGAGGTCAACATCATTTTGAGGGTTTGTGGTTCCAGAGGGGATAAGTGGACTCTGTGGTGGGGGAAGGCTGCTGATGGTGACCTGCCTGTGGGAAACCTGAGGGCGTGTGGATGGAGAGGCACACAGACACTCAATAAGAATCCTAGGCCTGGTCGGCGCTCAGTAAATGTCTGTCACAGACTAGAATTTTATTGCCGTTAGAGGTCCAAGCCTCTGAAAGGAACAGTGAGAAACAAGTGCTAAAATCATAGACTTCTAAATTTTTGAAAAATAGATCCCTGAAAGAAAGCATCGGGAGACCAGACCTACCAGCTGTCCTCCCTGAGACCACGAGGTGGCGTCGCAGCACCAGCATAGGACGATTTCCGTCAACTAGCTGGTCACCCAAGCTTCACTATCCCTCTACTCCAGGAATCCCTGCTTCCCCATCCTGGACGAAAGGAGTGAGAGCGGAGCCTGAGAAGCCTGGAGGCTCGCTCCGGTCCTTTTGGACAATGGGAAGGATGAAGGGAAGGAGGGCTCAACCGCAAGTCTGAATCATCAGGCCGTTGACAGTCCGCGCACGTTTATTTCATTGATCTTTGAAAACGGGATAGGGGAAGTCTCGAGAAGGCGGGATGGGCCAAGGATGAATTGGCCCTGGGGGAGCTAGCTGGTCCCTGTTCCTGGCCTTAGTCCCGGGGGCGCGGTCTCCGTTTAGGGGCCAGACCAGCCCTCGGGGCTGTGAGGGGAAAGGCCCTCTTCAGAGCCTGCCGCCCCTCCCCGGGTGCCCACGCACCCCTCTCAGACCCTGGGACGAGGGCAAGCCAGTTTAGGCGACCCCTGTCCGGGGAGGCTGTGAATTACCGCCCCGCCCTCGGGGATGATCACAGACCTGCGGCTCACACCGGCCGTTCCACCGCGTACTGGCAGGGGCTGAGGTTGGCGGCCGGAGGCGGCCCGGGCACGGCGGGGTAGCTGAAAGAGGCGTGCTGTTTGGCTTTGAGCCGCAGGCTAGCCAGGCTCGAGTTACACGGGTCCCGGTACACGTAGGGGGAGGAGGCGGCCGCAGCGGCGGCCGCGGCTGCCGAGGCGTAAGGGCAGGACACTGCCCCGGAGGACACGGCGGCTGGAGCCAGGCCCGGGGGTGCCCCGCCCAGGCCCTGCAAGGCTCCGGGGCCCGGTACGGTGCCCGGAGCAGCGGCGGCCGAGGGCACCATGGAGGCGGCGATGGAGCTGGGTGGTGAGAATACAGGCTGCGAAGCCAGAGGCCCCACGTTGACCGAGTTGAAAGCGAACGGGAAGGTCTTGGCGGCGAGCGGCGGGGCGAGCGCCTTGGGCGGCCAGTTGCCGTACGAGTAGCCCGGGTACACCTCCTCGTAGGGTGGAACCAGGCCCCCGAGCGGGGCTGCGAAGCCACCCTTGCACAGCTCCGCCTGCTGGCTGCGCTCCCGCTTCCGCCACTTGGCGCGTCGGTTCTTGAACCACACCTGCGGGCGTCGGAGAAATCGGCTGTCAGGGCACGCGGCCGGCTGCGGAGTGGGCCACCCAGAGTGGGATCGAGTCCGGGCGGGGAAGATCAGAGGGGGATGCAGGCTAGCAGGGAGGGGCGCACAGAGCCAGGGGCCCCGAGAAGAGAAGCCGGAGGCCGCAGGGCCTGGCGGGGGAGAGGGGGGCGCAGCTCCGGATCAAAGAGACCCAAGGAGAAGGTGAGCCCTGGTCCCGGCGAGGAATCGCTTGATAGGGAGTGGCAGGCAAGGCACCTGGAAGGTAGGGATCCCCGGGCAGGAACTGGACCCGACGTGGGGCCCGCACCCCAGAGCTGCCAGCTACTTGGGGGCCCCGGCGAGAGCGAGGTGCTTGCAAGTGAGGGCTGCGGGTCAGGCGGAGGCATACCCGCACGCGGGCCTCGGTGAGGTTGGTCCACACGGCGATCTCTTCGCGAGTGCTCATGTCGGGGTAGCGATTCCTCTGGAAGGTGGCCTCCAGCTCCTGCAGCTGCTGGCTGGTGAAGTGCGTGCGCTGTCGCCGCTGCTTCTTCTTCAGCGAGCCGTCCTCGGGGGAGCCCCCCGGCAGTGAGGCCGAGGCCTTCTCCGAGTCTGGGGCGCAGAATGAGACAGGTCACAGGGAGCTAGGGTCTGTGCGGATCCTCTGGCTCTGGGACCTCAAGGAATTCCTCCAACTCTGGCTGGCTCCCACCCAGATGGGCCACTCTGGATCCCACACACCCATCCAGGCTAAACTGTTTTCTCCTCCACCCCCAGAAGGGGGCGCGCTCACCACTGTGCTCCTGGCCCTTGCAGCCATGTTCCGGGAGAGGAGGGTGTGGAGTGCCTGCATCTGACAGAGACAGTGCAGGGCTCCGAGCCTCTGCCTCACTGAGCAGCCCGAACTCCATGGAGGGAGGACTCTAGAGGAATGAAAAGACACAGATCAAGTTAATAGAGGCAAACACCAGGGACTCATGGCCACCCTGACGTGGTGGGATCCTAGTAGTCAAGAGGCAGAAGCAGGAAGATCGCCCTCAAGTTCGAGCCTAGCGTACCCTACATTGTGAGCACCAGGCCAGCCAAGAATACACAGCAAGACCCTGTCTCAAACAAAACAAATAACAACAAAACCATGGGGTTATCAGACTCCTGATGGGGTTTCCCCACAACGTTCTTGCCTCTTCTCTCATCCACTGACAGAGCCATCTCGAACGGTGCGCTCTAGCATAGTGTGGAGAGATGGCTCCGCGCCCACAAGACTGGCAGCTCACGACCTTCTGCCCTCCCCAGGGGCTAGGCACTCGGGTGCAGACATACACGCAGGAAAGTCACCCGTACACTGAAAATAAATCTAAAAGCAACGAAGAGTCGAGAAAGTGAAGCCAAATGAGAAGGTGCACGTGAGGTTTTATGCGCACATAGAGACAACAGACGCATTACTGTTGGGCCCATGTTTAGTGCCACAGCTATTCCATTTTGTAGCTCAGGCTAGCCCTAGTCTGTGATCTTCCTGCCTTTACCTTTGAATGCTGAAATTACAGGCCTGTGTTACCATGCCCAGCTAAGTTTCAGTTTTACTTATTTTCCAGTTTGTTTTCGGACAGAGTTTCTCTGTGTAGCCCTAGGCTGTCCTGGAATGTCTGCTCACGACCAGGCTGGCCTCAGACTCATAGAGATCAGCCTTCCTGGGCCTCCCAAGTGCTGGGATTAAAGGCATGCAACACCACCACTGCCCGACTTTAAAGGTTTTTTTCTTTTTTCAATTTTATTTTTAAAAATGTATTTGTTTAGAGCCTGGTGTGTAATGTTAGATCTACAGTGCCAGAAGGTAGAGAGAGGGTCTGGACTCTAAGGCCAGTCGTGGTTACTTGAGACCCTGTCTCAAAACACAAGGGGTGACTCACTTGGTACAGTACCTGTGACACAAGCATGAGGAACTGAACTTGATTTCTTAGCACCCACGTAGCACCACCCTGTAGCCCCAGCCCTGGGGAGACAGAAACAGGAGGGCCCAGAATTTTGCTTGCCAGCCAGTCAAGCTGACTTGGCCAGCTCAGAGTTCAAGGAGAAACTCAAGAAGATGCCGTGGAATGATGAGGAAGAGACAATGCTGATCTCATATGCTTTCACATGTATGTGCGTGCTCACCTTCATACACACAAACATGTGTGCGCCTTCATATACACAAACACGTACACATGTCCACAAAAAATTTCTAGTAGAGCATCTCCAATCCAAAAGCTCTGAAACTGCAGGCTGGGGAAATGGCTCGCTAATTCAGAGCATTGCTTGCCCTTCCAGAGGTCCTGAGTTCAATTCCCAGCACCCACATGGTGGCCCACCATCAGCTAGAATTGTAGTTCCATGGGATCCGATGCCCTCTTCTGGTGTGTACGCATACATGCAGATAAAATACCCATACACATAAACAAAATAAAATTAAAAAAATAAGCTTGTAACTGGAAATGTACCTCCAAACTTGGGATTCAGAGAAATCCAGGGTTCAGACACCGACACCGAGATTAAGGATGATCCACCTGGCTCAGTCGTTTCATAGGTGGAACCTAAGAACCAAAGTAACTCAACTAAGTCACTGAGCCTATGACTTGTACATTTAGGACCTGAACTAGATCTGTGGACTCTGGAAGAGGCTTTTTCAAATTGTGTTCCTTGGAGCCCTCTGCAGAAGCGCCGTGGGACTTTCACTAGAACTCCATCTTGAATCCCCTTAGGTCTGCTTTAGCAGTAGGGCAATTCTGCATGTTTGGGTTATTTATGTTTTATGAAAGGATTTTGTTTGAATAAAATGTTTCATGTCAAAACAAAGTTTGAAAACCACGTTTGTGTTGGGACTGGAGAGATGGCTCAGTGACCAAAAGCACTTGCTCTTGACAAGGATCTGGTTCGATTCCCAGCATCTACGTGACAGCTCATAACCATCTGTAGCTCTGGTTCCAGGGGATCCAGTACCCTTGCCTTGTCTCCATGCAGGTAAAACAGTCACACAAAGTAAACACAAATAGATAATATCTAAAACTTGTTTAAAAAAGGAAAAATAGAAAACCACTTAGGCCCCTTCTGCTCCTTTGCTTGTCTAAGACATCCATCTCCCACTGGTCATTCCTGTGCCTCATGCCCAGCCTCTCTCCTCTCACCATTCCAGGCAGTATATATGGATTCCTTCACACACACACACACACACACACACACACACACACACACACACACACACACGCTTATACTTCCTGCTAGTATTCCTATCCAAAACCTAGCCTGACCTTGTCAAGGAGGCTGCCTGGGTCCCTGTGGAGGGTTCCCCTGCAGTCCTCCTCCTGGTGATCTCTCCCAAGACGTTTCCTGAGAGAAGGAAAGGAAAGGAAAGGGATAGTACTGGTGCTCTTGATTCCAGGAGCCTCTAGGGCAGAAAACAGAAACCAGGATAGGATAGGAGGAGAGAGCTAGGTATGTGTGTGGGATCTCTGTCTCCAACACCTTCTCCCCATCATCAGGCACATAGTGCAGGCTACACGGGGAGGCATTAATG